TGGCACACTCACCCAGGGTACAGTGGCCTGCTCACTGGCACACTCACCCAGGGTACAGTGGCCTGCTCACTGTGTTACACTCACCCAGGGTACAGTGGCCTGCTCACTGTGTTGCACTCACCCAGGTTACAGTGGCCTGCTCACTGGCACACTCACCCAGGGTACAGTGGCTTCCTCACTGTGGCACACTCGCCCAGGGTACAGTGGCCTCCTCACTGCAGCATACTCACCAAGGGCACAGTGGCCTCCTCACCATGGCATACTGACCAAGGGCACAGTGGCCTCCTCCCCACTGTGGCACACTCACCCAGGGTAAGTGGTATCCTCACTGTGGCACACTCACCCAGGGTACAGTGGTGTCCTCACTGTGGTACACTCCTCCTGGGTACAGTGGCCTGCTCACTGTGGCACACTCACCCAGGGTACAGTGGCCTGCTCACTGGCACACTCACCCAGGGTACAGTGGCCTGCTCACTGTGTTACACTCACCCAGGTTACAGTGGCCTGCTCACTGGTACACTCACCCAGGGTACAGTGGCCTCCTCACTGTGGTACACTCCTCCTGGGTACAGTGGCCTGCTCACTGTGGCACACTCAGCCAGGATGCAGTGGCCTCCTCACTGTGGCACACTCAGCCTAGGTACAGTGGCCTCCTCACTGTGGCACACTCAGCCTAGGTACAGTGGCCTCCTCACTGTGGCACACTCAGCCTAGGTACAGTGGCCTCCTCACTGTGGCACACTCAGCCAGGATACAGTGACCTCCTCACTGTGGCACACTCAGCCTAGGTACAGTGGCCTCCTCACTGTGGCACACTCAGCCAGGATACAGTGACCTCCTCACTGTGGCACACTCAGCCTAGGTACAGTGGCCTCCCCATTGAACACTCACCCAGGATATAGTGTTTAACTCTTAACTTGGTACATACCAATAAAAAAAATGGCTCTAACAACCACTACCCTAAAGATTTTAGCAAACCCTTTAACTATTGGTGTAACCGCTAACTTCCATGAAACACTACTATTAATATTAGTGCATTCACCATTTCATACCCTTTTAAAGTACATATGCTGATAAAATCTATTAAACAGATGATACAAATCAGTAAGCCACAACAATATATATAGATAAAACAGATCAGTCAACACACTCTGTTTTTTGGTGGGCCACATAACAGCACAATTTAACTCTGAAAAAGTGTTACTTACCATAACTGAAAAGAGTTCCCCATCATCATCACAAGCTAAACCACCAGGACAGTAAATGTTAAACCATCCATCTTTACCATCACGAACACCACATACAGATGTATGAACCTACAGAATACATTAAGAGTCATGTCAGTAACATCATTGCATTAAAACAACAAATGAACGACTCGGTATATTTATGGTTGCATCAAAGCATGAATAAAATAACTAATTAAACGCTATTCACAAGTGTGTAAATATAATGGCATCTGGATAAGGGATTGGCCATTATAAACTCTGGAGGGGTAGAACTACTGTTCAAATTTTGTTTTCTTTAACCTACTGTTTTGATTTGGTTTTCACAATTATGTGTGGGATTTTTTTTCATAAATATTTTTTTTGACTGTAATTTCCTTTTTTTTCTTCAACCAATCTCACACATAGAGCGTCACTTGAAGCTTTATTTGTCACTTGATTCGCCCAGCAGCAGTATCAGCCATGCTGAATTTTGCAGAGCAAGACAATAATGTCCTCTAAATCAGCTAGACCATAATGTCCCCTATTAGCCAGCTAGACCATAATGTCCCCTAAACCAGCTAGACCATAATGTCCCCTGAACCAGCTAGACCATAATGTCCCCTAATTCAGCTAGACCATAATGTCCCCTGAACCAGCTAGACCATAATGTCCCCTAAATCAGCTAGACCATAATGTCCCCTATTAGCCAGCTAGACCATAATGTCCCCTGAACCAGCTAGACCATAATGTCCCCTGAACCAGCTAGACCATAATGTCCCCTGAACCAGCTAGACCACAATGTCTCCTGAACCAGCTAGACCATAATGTCCCCTAAACTAGCTAGACCATAATGTCCCCCAAACCAGCTAGACCATAATGTCCCCTAAACCAGCTAGACCATAATGTCCCCTAAACCAGCTAGACCATAATGTCCTCTAAATCAGCTAGACCATGAGGTCCCCTAAACCAGCTAGACCATAATGTCCCCTAAACCAGCTAGACCATGTCCCCTAAACCAGCTAGACCATAATGTCCCCTATTAGCCAGCTAGACCATAATGTCCCCTATTAGCCAGCTAGACCATAATGTCCCCTAAACCAGCTAGACCATAATGTCCCCTAAACCAGCTAGACCATAATGTCCTCTAAATCAGCTAGACCATGAGGTCCCCTAAATCAGCTAGACCATAATGTCCCCTAAACCAGCTAGACCATAATGTCCCCTAAACCAGCTAGACCATAATGTCCTCTAAATCAGCTAGACCACGAGGTCCCCTAAACCAGCTAGACCATAATGTCCCCTAAACCAGCTAGACCATAATGTCCCCTAAACCAGCTAGAACATAATGTCCCCTAAATCAGCTAGAACATAATGTCCCCTAAACCAGCTAGACCATAATGTCCCCTAAACCAGCTAGACCATAATGTCCCCTAAATCAGTTAGACCATAATGTCCCCTAAACCAGCTAGACCATAATGTCCCCTATTAATCAGCTAGACCATAATGTCCCCTAAACCAGCTCGACCATAATAATGTCCCCTAAACTAGCTCGACCAGCTAGACCATGAGGTCCCCCATTAATCAGCTAGACCATAATGTCCCCTAAACCAGCTAGACCATAATGTTCCCTAAATCAGCTAGACCATAATGTCCTCTAAATCAGTTAGACCATAATGTCCCCTAAACCAGCTCGACCATAATAATGTCCCCTAAACTAGCTCGACCAGCTAGACCATGAGGTCCCCTAAACCAGCTAGAACATAATGTCCCCTAAACCAGCTAGACCATAATGTCCCCAAAACCAGCTAGACCATAATGTCCCCTAAACCAGCTAGACCAAAATGTCCCCTAAATCAGCTAGACCATAATGTCCCCTAAACCAGCTAAACCATAATGTCCCCTAAATCAGTAGACCATAATGTCGCCTAAACCAGCGGGACCATGATGTCCC